ATATTAAACTTGTCGGGACATCATAGACGTGTTCGGTAATGCGAGGTGTTGTTTACAGTCTTTGTCATCTTGCAGTACTACAGGCCATTTAGAGTTTGTTGATATCCATAAGACGCGTCTAAGCGCACCCCCCATCTTCTGCTCCTTCCTGGTAGCCACTTAGAGTTTTGTTGATATCCATAAGACGCGTCTAAGTGCATCCCCCATCTTCTGCTCCTTCCTGGTAGCCATTTCTCCTCCACTTTGGAGTATTGTTATTTCTGAATACTTTCTAGGATAATATCACATCATCTATCATGCCTCGTCCTCGGAAGACCGGCTACCAGAGATTGGAATATAGTATAAGTCCGGCCCCGGCCACACAGTCAGGTAATATACTCCGTGCCTTTTGAGAAACGTGTTTGACTTTTTGTTTGAGGGCTGACTGTTAGTAACAATACTGAACCAGAGTGGCTGCTAATCGCCATGGATATGTTCATAGCATCAATTCAGATGGCAACACTGGATGGACGTGAGCAGTGATGCTGGCATGGATATTAGCAGCGATGCTGATTCCCCCAGTGATATTGATGCTGGAATAACATTGACAATGTCAGTGATTCTGACAGTGATAACAGTTGTAGTGATGTTGATATGCCTGCACATGGTGATGATACGCTCTCTCTTGATATGCATGATGAGGATATTTCCTCTTTTCTCGATGGACTGAAGATCTCCCGGTCTTGCCTCTCAAGATCTCTCCTGCTATCAAGGTAACAGTATCCTGTGGAAGCCTTTTACAGGGCATTCTAGTCTGATATTAATGTCTTCCAGATCCCCCCTCTAAGTTCACTGTGGCCCTTGGGTTGTGGGCTTTCAGTGCCGAGATCTCACGGGCCAACTATGCAGCACTGGTGGAGGTGCTGCGTTCGGCACTTCACTTGAAGAGCTGCAGTCCATTCCTGCAAAGGTGGACACTCTGAAGAGATATGTACATGATTTTCTGCCTGTACTACCAACAAAGGCATGCACTGTGCCAGTTGATCTCAATGCCCAGAGTTCAGTGTCATCTGGCAAGAAAGATTCGTCAGCACAAGCGACATCCCTGCAGTATGTTTATAGTCTACCACATCTGTTCCACTCCATCCTCTCATCTGATTTGGGGTCAACCAAGCTACATTTCGGAATGGCAGAGTATTCTGATCATCCTGTTGAGCTTTGGCATCAGCGTGCATGGGGCTCATCCCTGATCACTACATCCGGTCAGTATGCCTCCTCTCCGGATACTGGGGACATCTTTCTTCCGAGCGAGTTTGTCCAATTCACCTCCCAGCCATGGCTCCGGCGTTTGAGTATGTCATTTCAGTATGGCAGGATAATATTTGTTGGTAGAGATACGCGGTCTGGCTCGCAGACACAAGGCCAGGTCGTTTGTACTGTCCAGCCTGTTCTTGAACCGCACCAGCTGGCTGAGGTCAGGAAAGAAAATGGTGGGTCCCTTGAGCTAACAGATCCCCACATCGACAGTGGTTATCAACTGGTTGAGGATGCAGTATTCGAGGTCCCTGTGTCATCAATTAGTAGCCGTGTTGGTTTCCAGCTTGTTTATACTCATCGTCCCCCTGCCACATTATCCGAGGATATCATCTTTATTTATCATGTCCTAAATTTGCGCGATAATCGGGCTCGGTTGTGCACTTTGATGCACCCCTGCGAGCAGAACTTGAGCTTGAGACCTTTGGACGTGGCTACTTTGTCTGGCTATCCCGCCAGCCACGAGTTATGTCACTACCCTTCCTCCTTTTTATTGATGATTTCGGAGCCCACCGCAACATGTTCAGGGCATTGAAGGGGATCTATCTCACACCTGCCGGCTTGTCCTATGCCGGGCGAAGACGTCTGGCAAACTCGTTTACCGTAACGCTGGGTCCTCATGGGGCCTCCTTTCAGGATGTTCTTGCCAATATCCATACTGACCTTGAGACCGTGGCAAAAGGCTTTTACAGCACAATCCATGGGAAACAAGTGCTTGTTACTGCGTCCGTCATGGCTCTTACTGGAGATATGCCACAGCAAGCTAAAAATAGTGGTATGCTCAGCTATAGTGCTGATATCGGATGTCGGACATGCTACTGTCCACGCAGCAAACAGTATCAGTGGTCATATGATACTGTTTCCCATGGCCGATATCATTTCCAGCATCAGTATTACCGAACTGAGGGTGATCACAAGGCCACTGTTCCAGAACAGCAAAGATATTTTAATGCTGTAGGGATACAGTCCGTGCTTCGCCAATCGAACGGATCATGCCAACTCTTGACATTGTTTTAGGCCGTCCGTATGATGTACCGCACTCTGATTGGAAGGGGATCGGCTATCGTCTGCTGGAGTATATCCAGAAAATTCTTGTGCCTTCAGGGGTTTCCAACTTCGCTACAGCCTTGCAAAAAGTTGTTCGGCCGGCTCAATGGCCTCACTTTCCTCCTCTGAAACACCTAAAAACCTGGACATTGTCAGACCTTGGTCGAGGGATCATTCTCTTACCTATTATTCTTCGAGTATGTGCCCGCCCCGACTGGTTTCACCCGAGATTCCTGCTGCGGATTAAAAATATTATACCACATCTCTTTCCAAATACCGAAAATGTGTCCTCGCCACAGATGTGGCTGGTCCGTGCTTGTGCAGAGATCGCATTGACAACCACCCTTATCTCAACCAGCCGCGCGTTGCCTCCTGCACTGGTAAATGCAAGGATTACTCACAGCCGCCGAATCTTTCAGCATTTGGTGGTTACAGCTTCAGCCATGACTGATTCAGAGCTACAGGCATTCAGCATCCATGGTCTGTATCTGTGGTATTCGCTGGCCAGTTACCTAGCTAACATGAAGCAGGAAAACTGCCACATGATTATAATAAGAAGCATAATAAAGATAAATGGTTTAAGTATCTTGGGGTGCCAGTTGTTCATGCTGGCTTTCATTTTCATACATTTGCTGCTGAGTATGGCCCGCTCATGAACTGTAATGTTCTAGCCGGTGAGTTGAAGCATAGGTAAGTACCTATTCTAAATTATAGCCAGCTGCTGATAGTATCACACTATATAAGAATATTCAAGAGATGGATAGATCGCGCCTCGCCGCCTCAGCTGATGACTTATCTCTTCCGGCTAGATCGGCTCCACCACTCTTTACGCCTGGGTCTTGCGGGTTCCTGGCGGGATGATCATCCAATTCTACTAGAGATTGTCCAGGATCTGTATATGTCCTGCCCACGTCTGATCCAGAAACATATTCTTGCAGATGAATTTATTACTGACCTGCAAGTTACAATGACACATCCGATTGAATGGCCTCATTCTTCGCTTTCTGAGCAGGATATACTGGACATGTTACCTTCAGCGTACCGGCAAGAATATTCAATCTCACTTCCTCGCCAGTATGATAAAACACAATTATCTTACTATTGTCAGATCAAATTCTGTTCCCGGTATGATTTCTTTATTTTTAAGGAGACAGCTGTGAAAGGCTTTCGCAGCTGATTTCTATATATCTTCTATTCCAAGATACTAACTGTGTTCTGTTCTCCAGTCATTCACAGACAATTACCACTGGAAATTTTATTAAATACCAGTCTTCAATAGCATATGTGAGTTGTGGTATAAAGCATTATACACAATCAGAATGCTTCTTCTTTCTTTTATTACAGCCTTGGGTACGGAACGGAAATACAGATAAGGCAACAACTCTTCCTTTCTATTGTTCTTCTAAGAGATGGGTATTGTCAGGATTACAAAGTAAAGTTGAGCCGGCATTTATGATCGATATAGATAATGTTTACAGACAGGTATCAGTTGATATTAATACTAGACAAGATCTAGTATACTGTTCATGGAATATTGATTTATGTAAATAACAAATTATTATATTCTGGTCTTTTACTACTTTCGTATGATTATATATTACTTCTGAGAATATTTTGTATAAGAATCTTACTATTATTTAAGGAGTGTAACCAGATAATCTCTAGAAATTATGATTAATATTTGTTATATATCTATAAAATACCAGATAATGTCTAGAAATTATGATTAATATTTGTTATATATCTATAAAATACCAGATAATGTCTAGAATTATGATTAATATTTGTTATATATCTATAAATACAGTTTCTGTTCATAAGTAATAGATATCTTCCGTATCTAATCTATTTTATTACAGAACTATTCTTGTTAAATTATAATTACATAATAGTTTCTGAATCGTATTCAACTTTAACAACGTTTGTATGTAATTACCCGGTTTGGGTGAGGTTGTATCGTTAGTAATTATTATTATATGTAAATAATAATAAATAACTGTTTTGCAACTGTAAGCAACTGTAACACAACCTAGCTACAACCTAACTGTTACTGTAGGTAACAGTTGACAACTATTATGAAATGGTCAGTGAGTGTGGCAAACTATTAAATATATATAAATAATAGTAAGCTACCATCTTTGACTTTTACTGAACTAT